TTTTTTGCGCTATTTCCTTTTATTTGCGTTTTGTTTAATTCCTCTTATTAGTCATAATTATTTTCAATGTAAGAATAAATTTGGAATTTTCGTTATCCGGCTTTTCTTGTCTGTCGATGTCTATAGACAAGAATATTTATAGGTGCCTTGTTAATTAGATGATGTCATAGGTAGCAGTTACATATTGATTTTATGCATATGTGATTTCAGAAATTTTCTGTTTTGCAGTTACTGGTACTTGGGAGTTTTGAATTGTGGCCCATCTTGGGCAGTGGAAGTGATATCTTTTTCCAATTCAAATAGTCTTAAGCTTTTTCTTTTTTATGTATATTTTTGCAAGATCTCATTTTTGCATAACATCTATGAACTATAGTGAAGCAGTTTTTACAAAAAGAATATGCTTAAATGATATTGAAATTTATTCAATTTTTCACTGATATCTCATGACAAATATATCAAGATATATTTAAATCAAAGTGGATTTATATATATATATATATATATAGTCGACAAAGTTAGTGCAACAAAAAATATTATATATAAGATATAAGATGAGTTTTGAGATTATAAATAAATATATCGTTTTATAAAATAATAATATTTTTAAAGTAAAACAGGTAAATTTCGTAAATTTTTCTCATACTAGTTTTCTTAATTTTTATAGTAGTTGTTATTTTCTACCTGTAGTCCATGCTTTAAAAACGTTAGTTCTGCTTGCTACTAGTATTTGTTTTTACCCTTCTACCCCTGCAAGTATTTTTTATTGAATTTTCCTCCATGTAAAATTATAATGTTGTATATTATAACACACGGTTCTTTATTAAAATTACCCTTCGGTTAAAGAGAAGAGAGTCATTAAGAAGAACACACGAACAAATTATAATTCGCATTATATTAGGCTAGTTTTAAGAACCCCTGCCCAGTGGCATCGGAATCTCTCATGTCTGGCAAAGAGGACCAAAAACGAAGGGGAGAGGATCCAAAGTTTCTGGTTTAAGAAAAAAAAAGGGGAAATTCTGCTTTTGCTTTTACTTTTCCCTTTTCAAAAATGGAATAGGAAAGAAATAAGGAAAACTTGTCAACGAAGGCAGGAAGGAAAGCCATTCTTTGAACACGTGGCCGGTACTCATTGGTTCAAAATACGTGGACCAATATATAAAAACATTGACACGTGATCCGCAACGTGTCTGGCCTATATTATTCCCAAGCTAGCAGGATTGCTGAATAAACTAAAGGACCTTTCGCTATCAACCTACTGCTTCCAAAATCAAATAAACAAAAACGAACCCAAAGCGAAACACAAAAATACTGTAAAAAAGAAAACGTAAAGAGGAGAAATGGAGAAGCAAACCAGATCTGAGGTTCTTGTTTTTTCAGCCATGAAAGAAGATACGGAAGAAATTTTCTTCGTAGGAGAAGAAGAAGGAAGTGATCTGTCTTATTGGGAATTCATCAACTCCTCAGATTCTGATGCTGATGATGTCCTCTCTCTTTCTGATGCATCTTGGCACTCTTCGCTTTCTTCCTCCCCAAAGGACAGTCCAATTCCTGACCTGATTCAAGATTCTGATGATAGTCGTCATCCCCATGACTATGAGCCAATTCACGATGGGTATGGTGAGCCATACATAGATTATCAAGAAAAGGATGATGGTGATGATTACGATGATGTTTATGATGAGTATGATGATGATGGGTATGATTTGGACGATGAGTTGGTGCCGCGCGCATTGAGTGGAAAATTTGGAAGGCAAAGGATGAGGAAATTAGGGAAGAGGGCTTTTGCCAAGATGCACACTTCAAAAAAGTCACCATTTTTGTATGTCAAGCCTGGGTGTGTTCATGGCAAGCATGGGCTCGGATTGAAGCACAGTTGCTAGAGAGAATTGGATGGCAACTTTTGGAGGAAATGGGCCATCTTTAAATGGGTACTTGTTGGAATCTTCATTTGGTTTAAGTTGTAATTACTGTAGTTCGAATTGCTATTGTTAGGTTGAATTTAATTTGACTTCGCTTATTTGGTTGTTAATATGCTAATAATTATGTTAATGTCTATGCAAGTTTATTTTGTAATCTCCATGGTGCTTTTCTGCTTAACTTGCCTCATTTCTTTCCTTTCTTTTTCTATTGTGTTGTTGGTTGGCTGGATGTTGATAAGTCTGAGGAAATTTTAGGAAATGGATGTGTTGAGATTGCGGAATACGAGAATGAATCTCTGTGTCATTTTGATGTTGCTATGACGTTTTGATGTGCCATAGACAATGTGTTCTAGGTCGGTTCTGACATTTATGAAGAAATTGGTATGAAAAGATCTCATCGGAAATGGATAACTACTGGAATTTCATATTGGTTAGACTAATGGTATTTACATGGATCTAAAGTTTTAGTATGCTGTATATAATTGCTGTTTTTGGTTACTTGAATTATGTAATCGCATTGTGGAATTTTGAGGAAAATGGGTGTGTTATGTGTAATCCTTGTCAGTCCTTTAAGAATAAGGATATAGCCGTTAGAAATGGATGTCTACTGGAGTCTCATATTGGTTAGATAAGAGTATTTACATGGTTAGTTAGGTTCATCAAGCTTTGAATGTTTTGGTATGCTGTATGTTGTCGCTGTTTGTGGTTATTTGCGTGGTTTGAGTTATGTTTGTGGATTTTTGGGGAAAATGGGTGTGTGATGTGAATTGCAAAGTTGACAATGAAAATGAAATCCATGTTAATCCTTTAAGGCCTTTGGTGTGTTGTGAACTTTCTTTGCCCCTTCAAAGTCTTTGTGGTGGCATGATTCTTGTGGATAGAGATGCTTGAAGAGCCTCAAGATGGACTTCTTGAGTGGAACTTTAATATTATAGCATAGATTGTCAAAGATTTGGCTTGAATGCTAGAGAAGGCTGTTCTTGGATTTGAGATATATTCTGAAGTCACATGGATGTCATCATATGTGTTTCTTTCTCTATCAGACTAAGTTAAATGGCCATTTTATCTATGGTGGTTATTATTACGAGTTATTCTGCATTGACATTGACATGCTAGAACAGTACTTAGTTTGTTCATAAAATGTGTTGATTAGATTCTTTGTGTTTTACTGGTGGAATTGAATTTGTGGCAGCAAAAGAAACAATAGGGTTTGAGAAGTTGGTTGCGAAGTTATGATGAACTGAGATGGAAGGAAACTGTGATTGTTGTTTGGGGGTTGGTTTCCTACATATAATGAAGGTATTGGAAATCCAGATGGCTAAGTAGTTTGATTTGTTGTTAATCTTCTTCTGAAGAGGCTTTTAACTTGCTCATTTCCTTTAGTATATTTTGGGGGCAGATGCTGTATTTTAGGGACCTTATGCGAACAAATGGCGCTTTGCTTGCTACCAGAGTCTTCGTAGCAACCTTTTGGTTTGTAATGTATGGTTAAGTGAATTGTGGGCTGCATAGCCTGGAAGGTCCTTTTAATTTCTCCCTTGGGAGCTGGAGAAATTGAAATGTTGATTGAAACGTTGTAATGCACTTAATATTTCATTACCAAAAAAGGGGCAGAACTCTATTTTCTCTAGGCCCATTGTCCAGAGGGCCCATCCAACCATCCCTGCTACTACGACTATCTGTTAAGTTCCCGGTAATATAAGTAAAACTTAGATTTTACTATGACTAACCTTGGAAAACTTCGGCCATCCAAACTTGCTGCTGATTTGGGGACTGAAAGGAAAGTTAAAACTATCAACACGCAGCAGTCAGCAGGGCAGAAAAATGTTATTGCCTCGTAGTGCCCTTCATTTCTTAACAATTGTCTCTGCTTGTCCATCTAAAACAAGGTTGTATAAATTGGAAAATGCAAATCTCTTTGGGAAGCTCAGAACCTATAGAGCAAGGTGTTCATTTTCGTATGGGGTTGCCTATCTCATTGCCCCATGTCTTAAATGACGTCCGTCTCCTGCCCCAGGGGCCTGCGGGACGGACTTCGTGCTATCGGCCCCAACTCGAGCCCACGCATGTCTCAGTCATGACCGGATCGTATGTCCGTGGCTCTCTATTCTCTGCGGCCCCTGCTCGCCACCCCTTCTCATCGCCCGTTGTCTTAAATGACTACAGAGAATTCTGATATTTTACGGAGCAAATGATTGCAAGTGTAACCACACCTAATAAAATCTGTAACAGTAAACCTCCTGTAGTATCTTAGGCTTTGCTTCATTTTATTTACCTTTTGTGGGAATCAAGGGATCGAGAGGGGGGGGAGTGGGGGCTAATTTTGGGCATAGAGAAATGCCCTTTTGTGTTTCAGTATACTTAATTTTTAATTTGACTAGGTAGAAAACACCAACAATCACAGCGGAGCGCATCTGAGGCGTGGGGCATCCAAAGAAAAAAAAATTTTCAAGTTCGGGAAGAAAGAGAATCTAATAAAGCTTTTTGTCAATTCATAATTCCACTTCATTTCCATCACTTTTTTGCTTATCATTTTCAGTGTCTTTTCTTGCTTGCCTTTTCGTAGCGTGCTCCATCTTACTTCATTTTGTTGCCCATACACCCCCAAAAAAGAACTCAAAACACTCCTGCTGAACACCGCTCTGGCACTTACTCTTAATTCCCAGTGGCTTCATCCAAAGTTTAAGTCTCTACCGATTTGCTTGATAGGGCTAAACAATCGTACCATGACTCTAAAGAGAAGGGGGAATTGCACAGCTTATCAATGATTAAATCACACAATTTTCTGCTCATTATACCTAATACAAAAGAGTTTTTTTATACAAGAGGCGCTCAAATAAGGATATGCTATAATATTTTTCGGTTAACAGGATATACTGTTACTATACTGCAAAATCCCATCCATCTCTCTCTCTCTCTCCCTCTCCCCTAAATCAATCAATTGCCATATTTGCTGTATGCAGTGGTAAAGCAGGGAAAAGAAACCTTTCCCTTCTCAGTTGCTAAGTATGGAATTGGTGTTCTTTTAGGATGGTTTTGCACTCTGCAGTTCCAAGAAATCAACAGGCTAGTAACAAAAGTAGTAGGACAAAGCAAATTTGGGCATTCAGGGTGCCATAGATTTGTAAATCACACAGGACATGCGCTTATGGTGATGATTGTTCTTATTCTCATTGATTGCTGTATTTGAACATTAGAAACATTCTTAGCAGCAAGCAGCTTCTCTCCCGCAGGGTGTAATTCCCAATTCCCCCAAAAAAGACAAAACCTTCAAACATTATTAGAAAGAGTTCAACTTTTCTCCCATCTAGAAGAATTTGACATCATTTTTTTTTTTTTTTACTTTATCTGTCATTAGGTTTTCCAAGTTAACGTGTAAGAGAACCAGCGCTCTTTCATGTTGTCCCCCTTCAGACCCAAAAGAAGAACAAAAATACAGAAACTATTGTCACCTCCCAGGCTCCAGTCCCTTTTGAGATAATGATGAATGGAATATAAGGAGAAACCAAAAGGGGAAACATTGCATACAGTTGGAAACTGTCAAACTCAAATAGTACAATGATCAAAACTCTTCATTTCTTTTGAAAGGGCAATATTCTTCTCCAATATAGAATCATATACTAAAAATGTAATAACTTGGTTTATTTTCCAATTTCTTTGGCCATTAGTTCAGAACTTATGCCTTTCACCTTCATTAATGACAATAAGTACTGCAAAGAGAATGTGATGCTCCTCAGTATGCTTGAAATAATTAATTTTCCATCAGAATTGCCCTTTTCTTCAATGGCCAACCACTTTTTGTTTTGGTAATAAACCAATAACCATTTATAGTGAGGCATTAACTTTGTTGGGTTTAACCTAGAAAATCCCCGCACCCTTTTCTTGCCTAACAATCCTTTGATAAAATAACAAGAAGACGAAATCATACAACCAGATAATGCCAACCCTGAGTCGACGTCATGCATAGACTCAATGGAAATAATAAATGCAAGTTATAAACCTATCTTCTTCTTCACCTTATGGGTTTTTTTTTTTTGTCAATTAACACCTTGTAGATGACTTCTAGTTGCATTATTAATTTTATCTAATAAAATTATTAAAATATCCTTAAATATGAATAAATATGTTAACTTTAAATTGAGAATACTTTGTTAATTTTAATAAATAAAATTAAGAGTCTAAACTAAACCTCTTTTGAATAAAAAGGTTATTCAAAGGGTGTTAAATGAAAAAAAAATTGAAAATTTTAATTAAAAAGAAACATAAAATGCCTTGTAAAATAACTTGAAACTATAAAAGGTGAAGCCTTTTTTTTAAAGATTTGTTTACTCTGCGTGAACATTCGAAAAGTTAAGAAAAGAAAAGTAGAAGAGTAGAAGTTTTAACTTGTTATATAAAACTATAAATTTAATTAAATTTTACGTTGGAGATTAGCTAAAGAATAAAAAAAAAAGTGTTATATAAGTACCATCTATACTAGTTGAGAGATACAATGATTTGGAAGTATACGTAATCCTAAAATAGGAGAAAATTGTTAGAAATTATCATTTTAATAACTTGATTTAAACAAAAACATTCAAAATAAATTAACTGTTTTTAATTATTGTTGGTTATAATTTGACAAAAATATCTTTGAAATCATTTTAAATAAATTAAATCATTTATCACAATTTTTCATATTCATTTGTTCTTTTCGATTTCTCTCTCTCACTATCCGACTCTCTCTAATTTTATTGATTTTTCTCTTTGACATCCATTTACTGTGCTCCTAATATCTCTATTATGCTTTAGAATGCCAAGCGATGATTTTAATGTATTTGGGTGAATAATTATTTGAGAAATTAGATCAATTCAGAGCATAGACACTAATAAATTTAATAATTTGAAATTTATAAACTCAAAGTTTTAAAATATTTTTTTTTTCAATTTTTAGTCAAAATAACTATTTTAGATAAGGAAAATTATGCTTTGATTTATGAAAATATGTTAGAAATACTTTAATCGGTACTAAATCAACAAAAAAACAAAAAGAAATCAAAAGAGTTGAGTGGGTTTGAAGTTTTAGTTCGCAAGTAACAATAACATTTTAGGCATTAAAGTGTAATAAAATTTTTTTGAATATGACGTATAACAATAATATTGTTTTTAACATAACTTGTAACATGTTTTCATACATAGTGTGAAATAATAATATTTTTTTAACATAACATGTAACAATCTTCTTTTTAACTATGACATGAAACAATATTTTTTCAACATGATGTGTAATATGTAAGGTGTATAATATCATGTGTACTTGAATATGAGGAAGTTTCATTAAAGGTAATTTTGTTCAACTTGACTAAAAATAGTTAAAATTATAGAGTTATTTATAAAACATCTTATCTATAAGGGTTATTTTTTAAAACGTCCCTTAACATAAAGTACCTAATTAGTTTACTATTATCTTATTTTTTATTATATAATAATCAAGGCACCATAAAAATCAGTTGTATATATTTAACTAGGTTTTATGTGTAATTTATTCTATTTCATAAAATGAAAAAAAGAAAAAATTAGGTCTAATGTTTTAAAAAGCCCATAGACTATTTAAAAAAAATTTAATATCTTTTATTTTTTTATTCCGTTCAATCAAATTTATATATTTTTATTTTTAATCAAATAAATCTTTTAAATTTTTTTTTCATAACTAACAATTAATTAATTGCTATTAGTCAAAACACACTTGTCCATTTTTATATCATATGATGCTGACATAACATTAACGTAGAGCGTAAAAAATGTTACGTGATCATATCATCGTTTTATATCAACATATTATATTATCATCTATTATAATATGTATTTATGTCATATTATGTGAGATAAAATGATAAACGACATTTTGATTGATAATAATTAATCAAATGTTAATCATGATAATAATTATCCAAAATAAAAATATAAAGATGTGATTGAATAAAATAAAAAATAAGATTTTATTTAAATTTTATTAAATAATTAATAGCTTGTTTAAGTATTATATAAAAAAGTTATGACTTTTTAAGTTTTGTTTGGTAAATGTGATTTGAATTGCTTAATTTATTAATAGGATTTGAAGATATGACCACAAATTACTTTATATCTTGATCACCGTATATATCTCGTAACTCTAAAACACCACACTTTCATAGATTTTTTTTGCATTAAAAATCATTAATAATAAATACGTGTCATAATAATAACATTGTTCGTTTTTAGATATTTTCGACTTTGAAGAATGTATTACTTTTTTATATATACATTATTATATTCTTTGCATGACAAAAGATGGAATTCTAAATTCTAAAAATAAGATAAATTAAAGATACATTAACGACATCTAATAAAATTTTCATTCTTATTAACTAGTAGTAAAAATTTCATGCCGAAAGTCGAATTTCTTGAGGGAATTCTTCTTGTTTGATGGAATTTGTCCTGGGTAATTAGGTTTGAAAGGAAACAGCAGCAGACTTTTTGCCCCCAAACACAGGGTGTAGTGTTCCGATAAAAGTCTGAAAACTTGAATTCAGGTCATTGAATCAAAGATGGGTAGTGTAGGAATTGAACCAGCTGCTAGGTCGTCCGAGTTTTGGGTCATGAAGCAAGCTGAAAAGGAAGGGTGTTCCTTTTTATAAGTTGGTTCCAGTTCCACTGAGAAAGATGAAACAAACTGTGCATCCCACTTTACCCTTTACGTTGTACTAGCATATAGATGAAAATTTACAGAAATGCACAGAGAGTACAGGGAGTAGAAGGGGATCTAGGCCCCCCCGGCAAAGGAAAAAGAAAAAAAAAAAACCCAACGCCCAAGGAGATGAAGGAAGGGTCGGAAAGGCGGGTCTTCGGGGTGCAAGGACAAATAGAAAGTGAAAGCTGTCAGATTTTACCCACAGTTCTACATATATGCGAAAGGAGGGGAATATGGACCATACCAGAAGTTGTTGAACATCGAACTGTTTAAATGATTAGATCTATAATCTACTACTACGATCATAGTTGCCATTCCAAAGAGAAAATGCTGAGGAACGGGTAAAATTTTCGTTCCCTTTTCCTCTATCTTTTCTAACAGTCTCGAACACAGAATAAAAAAAACACACAAAGAAAAGCCAAACTGTCCAAAAATGATCATTACCAATGTAATCAGGCGCAGGTGATATGAGGTAACGGGGGGAAACAGGAGGGGAAAAAAAAAACAAAAGAAGAAAAAACAATTGAGGATATTGATTTCTTTATTTAATGGTTTTCTTTGTGTTTCTTTTATGTCTCTGGGAGTGGTTCGATTCAAAAACACTTGAGTAGGTGATGATCGTCTGGCGGCGTTTACACTGCTGGGATTCCATTTCTTAACTCTTTGAGTTCTTTAATTTTTGGTGGTGATGGGAGAGACCAAAAAGACTCATCTTGCTGGTTTCACAGCTGTGTAAGGGTAAGAGATACTGAGTAACCCCAGCAAATTTACACGAGCCATGAACTCAAAATTATCATGTCTAAAAACCCACAAGGACAAACCTCATCAAGATAAAACAGCAACATCATTTCCACCACCTCAACCACCCACCTAGAGAAAACATCTTCCTTGTCAGTAGTACTGTAGTATAAGAGAAGACAAGGTCTTGTCGAGCTGGGGAAGAAGAAGAAGAATTTGGGAATCCGGGAGATGACCAGTGGAAAAGAGTGGGTGCTTTAATACAAGCATTGAGTTGATGATGATGATGAGTCAAGGAGCAGGATTTGGAGGCCCGAGGTGCCAAGACTGTGGGAACCAAGCCAAGAAAAATTGTGCTTACATGAGGTGCAGGACTTGTTGTAGGAGCAAAGGATTTGAATGCCAAACTCACGTCAAAAGCACTTGGGTTCCTGCCTATCGAAGGCGTCAGAGGCACCAACAGCTGTCTTCAGTTCCTCAACAGCACCACCTCTCCGTACACAACCCTAAAAGGCTTAGGGAAAATCCTTCCTCAACAGGTATATACAGATCTATTTACTCTATCCACAATAAAACAACATCATTTTGGCAACCCTAGCAGCTCTCTTCTTTTTCTTTTTGTTTCTATTCTGTTGTGAGAGAATTAAATTTTTGACAAGGACATGACTATATAAGAGAGACAACCTGCCATGTCTCGCTTATCTTTCTTCTTTCTATTTTTTCCGCTGTGTAAAGTTGATTTGCTTAGTTTAAATTTTCCATTAATCTTTTTTACTGGGTGTCCTTTTCAGGGTTAGAACTCGGAAATTTGCCGGCTGAATTGACTTCTCCGGCCACATTTCGTTGTGTTCGAGTGAGCTCCATTGACGACGCAGCTGATCAGTATGCTTACCAGACGATTGTGAATATTGAAGGGCATGTGTTTAAGGGTATTCTCTATGATCAAGGCCCTGCAGAAGGTCACCATCACACAGTAGGCGAATGCTCCTCTCGAGGGACACACCAGCCAAATCAAATCAATGCTGCTGCTCTAACAACGGCTACCATGACAACTTCAACTACTTCGGTTGCTGCAGAAACTCTTCTGCCTTTTGCATATGCATCTCCCTTTAATGCTTTCATGTCAGCTGGTACGCAATTTTTCCTCCACCCAAAATCTTAGGAACTTTTTTTGTATATGGGGAAAGAGAAAAATTGAAGGAAAAGGAAAAAAAAAATGCTGTAGAAAAGCCTTTTTTACTCTTGCAATATTAATCATCTTTTGGAATTAGAACTCCCATTCCCTGCCTTCTTGGTCATAGAAGCTCACCTGTGGTTGCCCTAGTACATATATGATATTCATCAAGGTTTAAAGAAATAAAAAGGGGAAGAAGAGACTTTGGTTTTTTGTGTTTTGTTTTCAAAACTCCAAGGGCCTGCAATTATATGATCCTGTCTCTAATATTAAAATGTGGGCAAGCTACAGAATGGTTTAGCTGTTTGTCTTCTTGCTTATTTTATTCTCTTATGACTTCAATCTGAAACTGCAAACTCCTTGTTTATGAACTTCGAAGCCACTTTTTTCCTGTTTATCCGTTTCTCTGCTGGTTTTGGAACCAGCTGCCGCCTGACATAAACAAGCGCTTCTTTAGCATGTTTCAAAACTATAAAGATTTTGAGATGACTAATTTTCACAAATGTTAATAGGTTCTGTATTTGTTTTAATTTCCCAATGCATAGGAATCTTAGCTATATTCAAAATAAATCAGCTCTGAAGGAACATGCAAAAGGATTGAGGATATCATGATCATCAAAACTGCAGAAAAAAAATGGAGAAGGTTCACCTCATGTGCAAAACTTATCACACTTGCCACATTTTGTCTTCCAATTTTTCATTTTAATGCATTGAAAGACTTAAAAATTATTGAATTGCATAATGTCGTACGCATATCTTCTAACATCTTGTTTAGAGTTATAGTATGTTTTTCTTATCCCATGCATTGCACAAACTTTATAAACCCTTTTTCTCTGCGTCTAATACTATATAGTATAATCCTGGTTAGGTGCGGCTCACATCTTAATTAATTTAATCGAAATTGTGGCATGGGAATCGCCCCTAGCTATAGCTATAAAGCTTAAGCTAAGCTCTTGAGATGAATAATTTATGGTTTACAAGGTAATAAAAGCTCTGTGGGGGCATCTTATGGATTTTAAGTGATAATGAACTTTAATTAGAAAGCAACGCATAAGCTTTCAGGCTTGATTTTTTATGGTAATTAAAGACACAATCACACTAACTATGGGAAAAGATTGATGCCCTCAATGACAAAAAGAAATGGAATATATCCTTGTACTTGAAAGAGAACCAGGTACAAAAGTCATTATATTTGCAATGGTTCTATTCTGCTTAAATGCATCTAGAATCAAACTCCCTCAGAAAGTTATGGAGTGGATTCCACTCTCAGGTGAGGTTCTGCATGGCTTTCCTATTATAGTTAGAAAAACAGTAGTAGAAAGGGATGGAAAAAATTAAAAACTTCTGCAGGAAGATATACTGGGTGCACATTATAAAAGCATGATCTTACTGTATTAGAATACCTTGCTTGCTAAAGCACTTGATCAGTTCTCATAAGTTGGTATAACAGATTAAAACCTTACAGTTCATGACAGTAGATGGTTACTGACTTAAACTGATGATCACATTCTCTGCACTTTGCCCTTCTCTTTTTTGGGGGTATATGCTATCAGAAGTCAGAACTAATGTGCCCAAAGACTAGCCTCAACCTGTCAAAGGTCAATTTGATGCTGCTAAATTTTTATGACACAATATGCAAGATTGTTGTACTCATGTAATATTCAGTTATGTTGAACGTGATTGATGAGGACAAAGTGGCAAGAAATGACAAGGATTCCTTTGTTAATTAGATTGACATTCATTGCTATATAAGCTATGAGGAATATGTACAGCTTTCTCTGTAATGGTTGCAAGATTTTCTTTATTGATTACAAGTTGGAGTAAATTCATTGAAAAGGTGAGAGATAGTACGGTTGGCTCCATCTATTTGTTTTTAAATTCAAATTTAATGTGAATGATTGTGCCAAAGATAAATTTGATGTGTAAGAGCATATTCTTAACTATGCACGCAGATAGAAAGGCAAAGTGCTATATTTTTTTGGTCCAATTGAAATAAGTGACTCTAATTCTAATAATGTTATTGCTGTTAATTAACCATGAATATTTATTTTTATGTTTTTTAAAGATTTTTTTAATTTACTATAGAAATTTACTTTTCAGGATCTATTAAGGTTTATTAGTTGAATAAGAAAAGATTGATTGTTGAACATGAGGGTTATGTACGTACAATTATCATCCAAGCCAAGTGTTCTGGTGCAATAAATTTAATTAACTGAGGTTTTAATGCACATGCTCTAGTAGATATTAATTAGAGTTATAAAGTTTGTTATAAGAATCTAAGCAAAAGCAAAGCATATGTTGGTATGGTGTGCCTTGGTGAAATATTTCATGTTAAGAATCAAACATTAGGCTATGCTGTGCTTATTTTTGGGTTCATTGATAGTTTTCCTGCGTTTTGAATTTCCTAAATTCGTCTATTAAACATGTCTCCTCCTCCTTCTGCTTCCTTTCTTCCATATGGGTGTAGGGTTATTTTTGTTTTTCAATGAATCCCCATGGGGTGTACGTACTACGCAGTTGCATCACACCTTAATTGCACTCGTCTTTGTACTTGTTTTGTCCATATGGGTTTGTACGTTGTAGCCTGACGAATAGTATATAGATATTGTTTGGCATGAATGCCTCTCTCATAGAATAAAGAAATTGAAAATTAAGATAAGCTCTTATCTTAGCTCTTTGCAATTGAAGGAAAGTAAACCAGAAAGTTATACACATGAGACATTTAATTAATTACTTATCTATTCGATCTCTAATTTGTCGTGATAACTTCCAACTTTTTATTATGGTACTCTTAATGATCATCACCATACACCTGGAGGAAACTAAAACGTTGAGCAAGGTACCTATCTATATATATGATCAAATGCCTGGAAAGTATGTGAATGTGCCATGTGAAGATTGGCCAACTTAAAGAGAAAAGAAAGGGAAAAAGTTTATAATACCAAATTTGTATTGCTTCCATAATCAAACAGATATAGTACCAGCAAAGTCTTAGTTACAGACTTGCACTTAGCCATGAGCTGATCATCTCTCGAATCTCGATGAACTAGGCTATGGACTCCAGAAATTAAGGGTTAAAATCAAATTGGTTATGATGGCCAACAATTAGCAATTTTTACCTTGAAAAGCATGCATATAATCCATCCCTGTTGGACTCAAATGTGGTTAAAATTAATTTCCACCTTGATTTAACTCTCTCTCGATCAACTCACGTATATTTTCAAGCAGTTTCAATACTTTCGACTGTCGAATCCTATGGGCAGACAACTTTCCCATGCCAGAAAATAGACGTTGAAATAACTTCATCTATGTGTTATGTAAGAAGGGTAACATGTTGCTCCTTTTTTTCAGGCAATGAAAACAAATCAACAAAGTCTCTAAGGTCGGTAAAACAAATCATGACTAGAGGTTTTCTACCCTACGTTTTTTTTTTTTAAAAAATTTCTTTTAATTAATTTCCATGAAAAGAAAGGCTAGCTCCTAGCTACTCAATCTAAAGACAGTTACCACTTACCAGAAGTAAAGTTGTCATAGAGCGACAACTCTCAAATATGATGTGATTCAGCCATTCAGGCAGGACTGAGCTTTTATTATGGCCTTCAAAAGGCTAAATTCTTGATAGAAATCAAGAGTCAAAGAAAATGTTACAAACCCTAGGTTTTGTTTTTTTTTAACAGTGGTAACCCTAACCTATACAAAGCTGCTATGCTACAGCCAGAATCATATCATTTCTTACTCCATCGATTGCCTTTTGCTGTAGTAAATTCGGACACATTATATTAAATTCTGCTGCTAGAATAGTTGTTTACTGGTTCAGTGGGGGAGAGATAGGCCTGGCTTTGTATTTTTTGACTAGCCGTAGGGCTTTTGAGTAGTCTAAATGACGCACTCTCCTTTGCATGCCTTGTTTTGCTTGTCACTTCTTTCCTTCAATTTTACAGCAACAAGCCCACCATTGCTGCATTATTGCAATCCTTCTGTTCACTGCTCCAGCAGGTTGGGTTTCAGTGAAATCAATTGATGAGAACGTATCTCCAACAATTCCAAATCTTGGTTAATGCAGATCGTTTTGAAAATCTTTTTTCTTTCTCAAAGCAACCCACCAAACTTTGAAGGTCTTGATGGCTGCAGATGGCAACCACAACTCTGTGGGATTGGCTAACCGCTGGTTTTATGTCCAACCCATGGTTGTGTTAATGATTTATGTTTTTGTGTATCCCCCTTTGACGTTGGAGGATTTGAAGGCTCATGGTTTTCACTTAAAGTATTCAAGTTTAGACTCATTTGGCACAAAATCATTATATTCTTTCTAAAATATTAATTTTATAAAATGTGTAACGTCCACACTGTTAAATTTTTTATAATCATTTACTTGCTTTTGTTTGTTCAATGGGTAATTGAAATACCATATCTATTTGTTCTAAAACTCTTAGACATGACATTCTTCTTTCACCCAATCTAATAACGCCTTCTTTACCATCAACTAGTCTGTCTTCCTCCCTTTAGAGGTGATAGGCATTTGTCTAAGTTTAAGTGGGCAACTTCAATACTGTCACACGTCATTATCCTTTTCTCCTTATAAGTTTCCCAAGAATCTCTTCTTGTACGATATGAGATTTAAGTGTCTTATCTATTCCCTCTAGGGTATTTGGAGCGACACTACACTTAGATAAAAAAGAGATGAAAAACCCTACACCTATACAAAAACAGTAATGTATAAGCAAAATTTTCAATTGATGAAATATGGTGAAGTATATATATATATTCTTCACATATCCTAATAAAAAAAAAGTTCAAATTAAATTTGTTGATTAAGTAAATAGTTAAAAAAAGGGAATGAGATTTAAACTAAGGTCAATAATTGTAAAAAAAAAATTAAGATGGACAAAAAAAAAATGTCAAACAGTTACTCTAAAAAAATTACTGTATTTTCAAGGGAAATAAAAACATGGCCCAAATCACAATGGGCTTTGTAAGCCTGATCATGC